GTTTCCTGTGAGGTGACAGTGACAACAACAATGACAGTGACAATGACACTGACAGTGACTGTGACTGTGATGGTGACACTGACACTGACAATGTCCCGCAGGAGTTCAGCCGGTTTCTGTGAGGTGACAGTGACAGTGGCAATGACACTGACAGTGACAATAACAATGACAGTGACAGTGACAACGCCCTGCAGGAGTTCAGCCGGTTCCTGTGAGGTGACAGTGACACTGACACTGACACTGACAATAACAGTGACAGTGACAATGTCCCTCAGGAGCTCAGCCATTTCCTGTGAGGTGACAGTGACAGTGACAGTGACAATGACAGTGACAGTGACGGTGACAGTGACGGTGACAACTTCCCACAGGAATTCAGCCGTTTCCTGTGAGGTGACGGTGACACTGACACTGACACTGACAGTGACGGTGACAATTGGTGCCCCGCAGGAGTTCAGCCACTTCCTGTGAGGTGACGGTGACAGTGACACTGACGGTGACACTGACACTGACAGTGACGGTGACAATTGGTGCCCCGCAGGAGTTCAGCCGCTTCCTGTGAGGTGATGGTGACAGTGACAATGACACTGACAGTGACAGTGACGGTGACAGTGACGATGACAACGTCCCACAGGAATTTAGCCGGTTCCTGTGAGGTGACGGTGACACTGACACCGACAGTGACGGTGACAATTGGTGCCCCGCAGGAGTTCAGCCGCTTCCTGCGCCGCCGCCGCGGCCTGGCCGTGTCGCTGTCGGACCGGCTGGAGTTCCTCAACGGGTGGTACCTGCTGCTGGTCACCAGCGACCTCCTCACCGTGCTGGGCACCGTGCTCAAGATCGGCATCGAGGCCAAGGTCAGCCCCGCGGGGGCGCCGCGCTGGGGACGGCGGCCGGGCGGCGTCACCGCCCCGGGGACGCGCCGGTGGCACCGTCCCCCTGTCCCCGCAGAACTTCTCGGGGTACGACGTGTGCAGCATCCTGCTGGGCACCTCAACGCTGCTGGTGTGGGTCGGCGTCATCCGCTACCTGACCTTCTTCCAGAAGTACAACGTGAGTGGCGCCCGTGTCACCCATGTCGCCTGTGTCACCCGTGTCATCTGTGTCACCCGTGTCACCCATGTCATCTGTGTCACCCGTGTCATCTGTGTCACCCGTGTCACCCATGTCATCTGTGTCACCTGTGTAACCTGGGGACAGGGACAGGGACAGGGACAAGGTTGGGGTCAGCCGGTACCTGACCTTCTTCCAGAAGTACAACGTGAGTGACGCCTGTGTCACGCGTGTCACCTGTGTCACCTGTGTCACCTGTGTAATCTGGGGATAGGGACAGGGACAGGGACAGGGACAAGGTCGGCATCATCCGCTACCCGACCTTCTTCCAGAAGTACAACGTGAGTGACACCCGTGTCACGTGTGTCGCCCGTATCACCCATGTCACCCGTGTCACCCATGTCATCTCTGTCACCTGTGTCATCCGTGCCACCTGGGGACAGGGACAGGGACAGGGACAAGGTCGGGGTCAGCCGGTACCTGACCTTCTTCCAGAAGTACAACGTGAGGGACAGGGACATTTTCCCACC